AGGTTATTCTATTGTTCTATGGAAGAATTCAGTGCATGTCCGCGAAGCTGAGGCGAGATGTGACACTGAAATATGTCCGTTAAAATGCAATCCTTCCTGAAGGCCGCGTGTTACCTTGCCAACAAGGAAAACATCCCCTCTTTGCTAATACATAATCAGTTGGATGCGAGGGGCCACCCAATTCGATTTCGCACAATCCATTCGACTTCCGTCCCTCTAAACTATCCGCATCTCCCCCCCCCTCCACCCACCTCGCCCTTTTAGTATGCCCTGATATCGGCTCTGAGTTTGCTGTTACTGCCTCAAAGGCCGGCGCCTGCCTTACTCTTGTCCGTCGGGTCCATCTATCTGGAAGTGGATATTCCATCCTCGGGGGAAGCACCTACTTCTTCTCCTTCAGGTAGGTATTTTGTTTACCCTGCACGCGCACCTCTATCGTCCTCTCTCTTTCAGCAAAATCAGAACTGGCAGACGCGTGTCAGACGCGTGCTCGCCTCGCTCTGGACCTGGAATTCTGTCATTTAAAGGCCCTCCAGCAGTTGACACCATCACCGACAGTCACTACCAGTAGGGCTTCGCCGCTGCTGGCTTACTCCGCCCGGAAATCCTCCTCTCTCGATCGACACGTCTATGGCGATCTCCTCATGTTGAACGACTTCTCCGTCTGGGTAAGACGCCGTGAATAACACCACCACCTTCGTATCTGATAAGGTTGTAGCGTCGAAGTAGTGGTTGTGCTTTGAACACTACAATCATCAGACCGAATCCCGGGTTGGAATGTAAAAGGCAGAATTCACTTGAATGAGGGCTTTATTGTGCAATTGCCGGGGGTGGGGAGGGGTGTTGCGTATAGAGGTCTGCTGCATCGGCCGGGGGAGAGCGTATTCAAGTGACCCTTAAACTGGCGTGCTTAGTTGGACGCGCGTGTATGTGCGCAGACGTGTGTGAATAAGCTGAGGGTAGGAGTACCTCGCGGAGCCGCCTGATTTTTGGGGAGAGGATGGGTGGGGCGTGTCAGGGAACAAGTAAGCTCGCAGTAATTCTGTATAATTAGAAAGTTACGAGGGTAAGTTGGCGCGCGTACTCAAACCTCAGGCGGGGACACTGAATTACGCTTCAATAACATCGCTAACCCCCGACCGGGCCAACGGTGAGCGCGCGTATGTCGGGGAGTGTGCCCTGACCTCGG